GATAAGATGGTGAAGAAACTTATGGAGAAATTTCAGAAGTAAGTAGTTCAGTGATAAGAGGGAAATCTGCTATGTTCAGTGCTTTAGCTGTGTAATTACTGGTAACACTTCTGTCTGAGACTAAAACGAATACTAACAATTACTGTATCTGTCCTTGAAGTGCTGCAGCTTTACTGTAGTTGCCATATCTTGCTTCTTTAATTTAGCCTGCAGGTTGATCTTAAGCATATTTACAGGCAATAGGGGAGACAGAGAATCTTTTTCTTATCTCTTTTAGGAATGTTTTCTGGTGGGTTTTGTACTATAAACCAGTGAGATGAAGGCATGTACTACTTTAGTGATGCAGAAATATTTATGTGCTGTTTGCCTAGCTGAAACAATATCATTAACAAATTTTTTAACTTGCATTTTTTTATCTGTAGATTTTCTGTTAATGACTCATCCTAAGAAACTTCACACAATTGACTGCTGTTTCGTATGGACCCAGTGAAACCCACCAAAACTACTTCAAGCTTGGCAGTGCTTAGCTCATGAGCTCCTTGTGCCTTTTGGATCTTTGCAACATATTGATGGTGATTGAGGATTTGAAAGAACCTACTCAACTATTTTGTGGCAGTGCACATGGTTTTATATTTTCAGGAAATTATTTTGTAAAGAACAACTTTTAATATTGTAGTTTCACCTGTTTAATCTGATAAATGTTGAGGTGCAGTTTTGCTTTTAGAAATAACCATTACTTTAGTTAATAGAATGTGCAAGTACAGTATGTTTTGATGCTATTTTGTTCCTGTACATGGAGTTGTACAGGTCTTTTATATTCATGAGTTAAACTTTTGTAAATCACTAACAAGCTTCAGAGAAAAATAGCTTTTTCACAAGCATATTCAAGACATGTAATGTAGTGGCAAGGGTATTGCTGTAGCACCTGCTTCAACCAGCATATAGTTATCATGCCCTGAAAAACAAACCTGCAACAGTATCTATTTTAATTCTAAATTGGTACAGTATTTTAGGCAGCTCTATGATTAAATATATTTGAGAGCAATATGGCAATAGTTTGCAGGTGATATGTAGCAACAGGTCTATCCTGATGTACAGTCTGTGTATTACCTTTTAGAACAGGTTTTGAAGTAGTAACTCAATCTTATATCATCATGGTAGGAAAATTTAGAGCAATACAGTTGAGGGGGTGGGGCTTTCGGCAATAATGGACAGAACCTGAAGTCCAATTTAACTTAATTTAATTTTTTTTCCTCTGAGTCTACATGCCTGGGTGGAAGGGAGCCAGAGAAGCCGAGCGTCGCATGTTACGTACCTCACACGCAGGTATCGGTGTAACACCAGCGTTCTGTGTGGTGGTGTTGTTTCTCCTGTAAGATATTTATACTCATTTTTGTTCTGAAGTACATTCAATACAGTACATCGACATAATTTGTTTATAATTTTCTGAAAGTGTATTTTAAATATGTATTTACCAGTTAATATGCAAATAACTGAGTTATAGATATTCTTTCACAAAAAGGTAGTACTGTGCAGTACAGAGTGATTTTTTTTCATAAAAAGTAGGTAAGACTATAAAGTTGCTTTCAGTTATATATTTATGGTACTGCTAGATGGGTAATCTCTTCTGTTGTTTTGTTTTGATTTGGTTTTTTCCCTTTTTCAACCCAGTATGTATATTATGCTAAAGTTTTGAACTGGGATTGTTTTTCAGTACTTAGCTGTGGAACTGTTGGTGTAAATTTATTTTTGATAAAGGCTGGGTGTGTTTATTTTATGGTTCAGACCTGCACATTTTGTTTTTGCACAAAAGTCATTTTAAAGAATCTGAAATATATCTGCCAAATATTGAAAAAGTAATGGTGTGCAAGTAAATACTGCATTTTTCGTCAAATGTTGCCATTACATCGTTTTTATATAAAGGACACTTGTGAGAGATGGTGGTTAGATATGCCAAGGACAATTATTTTCAATGGTGCCTACACTGTAAAAAAAAATTACTTTTAACTCCTTGTTTTAATTTTAAAAAAAATGTTTCTGTTTAAAACTTTCATCTGCTATATAACTGAAATTCAATTAGAATTTATATCTGAGAAAAAAGTCTGGAAATAGTTTTTGAAAACAATAATGTTATGGATTAAATAAATATTTTTATAAATGTAAAAGCAGCAAAAGTTGTAAATACAGTTGATCTGAAGCTTTACAAAATAACTGCATCACAGAAACAAATTGTAGTGCTCCTCTAGCTTCTGTAGTTGTTAGTCTTGTAAATCTGTTTATAGATGAAGCTTATTTCAATGTTTTGGGGGGTTTAAAATGGTTTAAAAATAAATATTTAAGTTCTGTAAACTTTCATGAGCTTGTTCTGTTGTGCATCATTTTATCCTGAATTCCAGCAGCTGTGCAGAGGTGTGGATGTGTCAGGCACAGACTGGTGTGAGAAAGGCGCTCCCTGCCTGGGTGTTTGCAAAGCTCTGGTGCCCCACGCTGGCCTTGGGGACACCTCCCAGCTGCTGTGCCCCAGGGAATGCATGGAGCAGTCCTGGGGTCAGTTTGCTTCCTTTCCTAGAGAGGAGGCTCTGGGATGTATGAGCTCAGACCTGGCTGGCAGTTCAGTGGTGTCACGGCTCTGTCACAGCTCTGCCTGCCTTTGGGGCAGTGAAGGGACACCAAGTACCTGGTGTCCCCTTGACTTTCACCTCAGCAACCTCAACACAAACCTCATTTTAAGGAGCTCCGTATACATTTTTCAGAACTAAAAATATGTTTTTACTTCCATGTCACTTCCCTTAAGGTGTTCTTTTCCTGTGGCAGTCTGAGGGAAGTGCTGATGGGAATTCCTCCTGAGTTTTGTAACTGGTGGATCTACCCTGTTGACACAGGATCTTTAATCTGTGCAGCTTTACGGACAGTTCTGGGTAGGTGGGGTTAGTAAATGACATGGGGAATTGGAACCTGACATATTTGAGATAAAACTGTCATAAGCTGCTGAACTATGGTGCCTCTTCTTTTCCTGTGGGATGGGTGGGATGTATACCTACCTCGTGGGACAGCATGGGAAAAACTCCCCCATGTGTACATAACAGACTCATTCTCTTGTACTGCAGTCCATTCAAGAAGGTTCTTTTATTTATTTTTATTGTGCTGCATATGCCTGAAGTCTCTGCATAGTAAGACTATAATTAGCTCCTAAGAAGGGACATTTGTATTGCTGATTCCAGAAATGAGCTGTCTTTTTCCCATGTTTTAGTTATTGATGAACTGTAACTTAATCAGCAGTATTCTGTTGCTGGCAGACAGCTAACGGAAAGATAGATCCAAATATTCATGCAGGAACATTCTTCTTGCTCTTTTGGTTTGCCAGGCTTCCTGCTGCAGGTTGAGAATTGTTGCTGAAGTAATCTTATCAAAGTAGTCTGAATTGCAGAATAGAGAAATGTATTTGTTCTTGGGTAGATGAGTCCTTGATTAGTGTAACCACTCTTTAAGCCCTTGGTCTCTGACCCCTCTGTTATTTCTGTGCAGTGTAGTGCCATCACACCTGCTCTTGCCTTGCAGTTTCGACAGCTGACTAGAGAGTGCGTAGGCTTTAATGTGTTTGCACAAAGCCTAGTGATTGTTAAAAGTCTGATTTTTATCACGCTGTTTTATGACTTTAACACTGGAATAAAATTATTTTCCTCTTGGCAAAGTTTTAGTGGTGTGTATGTCGGCTTATTTCACAGCTTTATCTATTTTGTCTAAACCTTTATCTGTTTTATATAAACCAGATACTTCTATCTGAATGCTCCGAGTAGCTTAATGTTTTCCCACTGTGATGCTGCAGTGCCTTCCCCCCTTCAATAATCCCTTGTGTAAGGACTACAACAGTTTACATTTTCCACGTTCTGCTGTTTGTCTTTTACCACCAGCAAACCAAATCTTTCCATGTCCTCTCTCCATCCTTGTTTTCTTCCCTAGGGAAACAAAATCACTTCAACAGTTGTCCTTATCTCGGGGGTGATTAGGGCTGAGCAGGGAGCCAGGGGAAGGGCTTAGGCAAGGGTTGTTTCAATTGTTCCTTGACAAGTAAGCCACTGCTTACTGGGATTGTTCCTTAATTTTAGCCAGTCCCACTAAAGTGGTTTATGCAATGAATTTAGCTCAGAGATGTTGATTTGTGTCACTTGCTGACGAGCTGCTTTGTTCCTCTGCTATTGTTGACCATGTGTAGGATGTGCTGAGGCACAGTGCCCACACTGTGCCCCAGTGCTCCTTAGTCCATGGAAAAACCCAAAAATAGTTCCCAAGTCCTTGTTTCTCCCTCTCAACGCTGTTTTCCCAGCATAGTCTTCAAGACTATGGCAGTTCCTGAAGATTTGAGCAGGGTGTTTGTACAGTGATTTCTCATGGTGGGACATGCTCAGGGTGTGTCTCCACATGCTTGAGGAGCTAACAGCGACTGTGGAACTGTCCCAGAGCTGTGTGTGCAGCCTGTGCTTGAAACACTGCTGCTTTTTAAAAAAAACCTACCAAACTGTGCCCACAGACTGCCATTCTTAAATGCACTGAGTAGTGATTCTTGCTCTTTTCAAGGTGCAGAGCTTTGGGAATAGGGAAGAAACAACCCTTCAGCCAGAAAGATTATCCTTTTTTTTGGTAGAACACGTGCCAGAGCAGCATGAGGGATCACTGCAGCTCCCAGCTTCAGCACAGGCTAACTAGGAGCAGAAGCAAACCTTACAATGTACTCACTTGTTGGGCTAATGCATTTCTTTGGGCAACTAACCAAGAATGTGGCTGTTTTCAGCAGTGTTCAGGGATCTCCACAAGTGTCCCCAGCTGCTGGGACAGCAAGGGCACAGAGGAGGCCAGGCAGCAGAGCAGGAGAGGGAAACCAGCTCCTGGGAGCACTGAGGGAAGCTCCTGACTGGGAGGCACAGGGCGAGGTGTGATGGGGGGTGCCTGCAGGACTGGGGGTGCAGATTTCACAGGGCAGAACAAGGAACTCAAAACTCCAGTATGAACAACTGTATTTTATTGTCCACCTTCTAAAACAAAGGACAGCAACATGCAGAGTGAGCAGGACCCATAAGCCCAGGTTTTTTTTCTACATTTTAATCTATTTTTTTTTGGTCCCAGCTTCCATGTTTCTGAAATCCTCCTAGCAGGCTGCAGTGGTTTCTCTGCTGTGGATTTTTCTGGGCTGTCTCCCTGCTTACAGTCATGTCCTACAAAGACTTACAGGGTTGTTCTTAAAGAAAATTATCAATATCCCCCCCCTAAAACTTTATGGAGATGTCATCATTCTCAAGATATCCAAGTAGATTTAATGTAGGTTTAGGGTAATAGTAAGTTTTTTAATAAAAATACTTCCAAGAAGCTGCTTGTTCCTTTCCTACCTGCTCCTGGTATCTTTTTTCCCATGCTGCTTAACTGAGGACAGATTTGGGGAAGCAAGGGACCCCAAAGAACCTCCTTACACATCTCTCTCAGACTTAAGCAGAGCACTGAAGTGCTGGGGCTGTCGTGGTGCTGCCAGGAGGTGATGGCTGATGTGCCTAAGCAAAGCACAGTTAGAGAGTATGAACCCACTTCCCAGTGCTCACCATGGGGGGCTTCTAAAAGCTTGACAAGCACTACTGAGATATTTCTGGAGAAGGATAATCCTCTAAACTGGCCAGGGAGAAGACAGCCACACAGAGAGCCTTGTGTTTGAGTGCCAGGCTCTCCCTGCAGCACCGGAGGGAGGTGAGACAAGTGGAGGAGATGGGCTCGCTGCTGGGGTTTTGTCCTGTCCACATGGCATCAGCTCAAGGAGCAGCCCCCCATGAAGATCTTGCTCCTTTCCAAAAGGGCCTGAAACACCCTTCCCTCCAGTGTGTCTCCCTGCAGCTGGGAAAAGCAGCAGCTGAAACTATTCTCTGAGAAGTCTCTTTCTTTTCTCCCTCCCCCTCAATGAAGACTCCAGCAGCTGAGCTCCAAGCATCAGCTTGGGCAGGACACAGGGGCTTAGCAGGGCTTTAGGAGATCCCTGGCCTCTGGCTGAAGTAAGACCCCCCCTCAAAGTGTGGTGGCAGAGGCAAACCAGCTTCCAAGTGTGGTGCAGGGGTTGAATCCTTCCGAACACAGCCCTGATGCCCATGAACACATCCTCTATAGCTAAGAGCACTCACACAACACGATCCCATCAATGTTTCATAAGCTGTAAGCAGACCTGCAAACGAAGAGTGTCACCATTCTCTGACCCTGGGTCAGCGCCGGCCACCTCTGCTCCCTCTGGCCGGTGTCAGGCACCTAGGTGAAATACTTGGAGGCCCCTCTGGAAACCCTCTCTTCAGCAGCGCTGGTGGCAAAGGACACCTCCTCATCCTCCTCGTCCAGCTGGAGGCTGCCCGAGGAGAGCCGCACGCGGGCCATGGGCGAGCGCAGCACGCGGCCGTACAGCGAGCAGTAGTCGGCGGCCAGCAGCTCCGGGTCGGAGTCGCTGGACTCGGTGCTGCTGCCCAGGTAGCGCTCGCTGGAGCGCCGCGGCCCCGGAGCCAGCCCTTGCTGGGCTGGGACGTGCCAAAAAACACCCCCTTTCCGGCTGCTGAGAGCCGGGCACGGCCCCAGGGGCCTGAACTCGGAGCCGTAGGGGAAGCGGATGGTTTTCATGTCCGACTGGCTCCAGGACCGCTTGGGAGGCTGCTCCTGAAGGCCGTAATGGAAGGAGCGAGCCAGTGACCTGCTCTCCCCCGCCATGCTCGTGCCCATGGCCTCACCATGGAGCTGCCCAGCCTGGGTCCCGCTCGGGCTCTGCCGGGGGGGTTTTGCTGCCACGGGGCTGCTTGTGCCAGCTGCTCCTGCTGTGTCCTCGCCAGGGGCCAGTGCAGGGCACGGGGGCTGCAGCGCCCTGTCCACATAGAAGAGCACAGGGGGGGCCGGGGCCAGCACGGGCAGGGGACAGGGCACATCTGTGTACACCAGCTGCCGGGCGCTCACTTCCCGCATGTTGCCCACAGAGGTGCTTTTACTGTTCCCAGCAAACTGGTGGTGGGGCCGAAAGGACGTCAAGGGATTCCTGGCTCCGAAGAGGTCCATGGGCTCCCACGCCCGCTCCATCTCCAGCTGGGCGTAGAGCAGGGGGAAGGCAGATGAGCTTTTGGAGTGGGGCAGGAAGGTGGGGGATGCCTCGGGCTTGGAGCGCTCCAGCTCAGCGGCAAACGTCACCTCCATGGTGGAGCTGCGGCGCCGGCTGTCCAGGGTGGGCTCGGAGCCGTGCACGCCGTTGGCGTGGTAGGAGCCCCGGCTGCCGTAGGCCAGGCGCAGCTCCTCCACCTGGGCAGGGCACAGAGCGGGTGGGCAGGGAGCCCAGAGCTGAGGGGCTGGCTTGGCCTGCAGCTGGGGCAGCAATGCCAAGACCCAGGCACAGAGCTGTCGCTGGTGCCAAGGGGACTCACCTGCTTTGACACATCCGTCAGGAGGTCCGGGGAGGAGCGGCACTGCCTCTCGTCGTAGCGGGACGTGTAGTGTTTCCTGCAGGACACGAGCACGGGTAGGTGTACGGCCAGGAGGGTCCTTCCCCTGTCCCCAGTCCCCTCAGGCACTGCCCCCCTCCGTGCCCCTGGTACCTCTCGAAGGGCAGGCTCTTCATCTTAGCCTTCCTCCCGTGCTCCAGCAGCTGCCGCTGAGTCCTGCCACTGCAGCATGGAGGGAGAAATGTGAGCAGCACCATCAGCCCCAGCCCCGTGTGCCTGTGTGAGGGGATGCAGCTGGGGTCTCTCCAGGAGAAGTAGCTGTTATCACCCACTCAGATTCACACAGGGTTGGCATAAAAGGGAGGCTGGGAGCCATCCCCAGGCCCTTCCCAGCCCCAGCAGTTTGGGTTTTTCCCCAGGGAATTTACCTGTAGCGGAAGCTGGAGCCTTTGCTGCACAGAAGGGCTTTGGGCTTTGACTTGGGCTCCTCAGAGAGCCTGAAGAAGGCGTGGTACTCCACACACGTCTTCCAGAAGGCCTTGCAGGTGTCCCGGCTGGCCATGGTGAACTCCAGCGTGTCCTTGCACAGCTCCTGTGTGCCAGAGGCAGGACAGCTGGGGTCAGGAGCACGTCACAAGCTCTGCCATCTGCCCTCCTGATCCCCCAAGGGTCATATGGGCTGTCAGTGGCTCCAGGCAGTGCTCTGTCACCTCGCTGGGGACACAGGAGTAGCCCTCAAGAAGGAGCACTATCATGAGCAGCAGGAATGGATTTTTCTCAAAACTGGGGATTTTGTGTGGCTGACCTTCCATCCCCAGCTGTCTGCTCCCCAGCCCAGCAGCCACCTGTGGCGTGGTACTTACAGAGATGTTTGCATGGAGCTTGATGAGAAAATGCTTCCTCTTGAAACTCAGTTTGCGAATTTTGGACCAGTTGAAGGTGTTGATCTTTGTATTGCCCTGCAAGGACAAACACAGCAATTACAGCTGGATGGGGCAACCTGTAAATACAGAAATGCACTGGGCCAAGGCCTGAGCTCACAGGACTCTGCATCAGTCTCCAAAGCAGCTATTGGAGCTGCTGGGGTTTGGTGTTTGACTGCATCAGCTGGTTCTACAAGTAGAAATTAATGTTCAGGGCTTAACTCTGCCTGCTGAAGCTCTTTGCAGAAGTCCAAGATCCCCAGACAAACCTCAGAGACGTTAAGGCAGGGAATCCTATCTGTGCCAGCTCAAATATCACAGGAGTTAAGGCAGAATCAGTGCCCCAAAGAAATACAAGTCTGCCCTCCTTTGCTGGGAAGTGTAGCAGTGCTCAGCTCACCCCCACCCCTTCAGGCCTGGTTTAAGCAGGCTGCAAGCACACGTTAATTACTCTGTTATCACTTTGCACAAGGTTAGGTGCAGCCACATGGCAGAACCAGGAAAAATCGTGTGACTCCACTCAGTGGCACCAGGACCCTCTCAGCTCTCTGCGAGAGCCCAGATTTTAATGGGCTCACAGATGCTCTAATCATGCGTGAGGGGTGTTTATGGCTCTGAATAAATAACCAGGTCTGGCAGCACTAATTACCAACAGCAGACCCACAGCTAGGTTTTATGTTTGGGTTTGTCGGTTTGTTTTTTTTGCTGTGACAAGATGTTCCCAGGTTGAAATCAGCTGGTGTGGGAGCGGAGCGCTGCCTCATGCTGGCTGGGAGGAAGTCTGTGTTTACTGAGCAGCCCGGCTGTGATTACAGCGCTGTGTAATTGCACACACACACACACACACACGGGGGGGGCTATTTTCGCTGGAAGATTACACGGTGAGCACATGTGACAGAGCCGTGGAACCTGTGCTGCTCACACGGCCACCACGCTCGGGGGACAAGGGCCAGCAGAGCTGGGGCACGTTCAGTGGCACACAGGGATGGTGGGGCTGAGTCCCACAGCATCCCCTTCACCCCCACGGCCTGTGGAACACGTGCCCTTTTGTAGGATTTGGGAGAGTTTGGGGTGCTCAAAGGGGAGAAGGAGAGGCCACCCCCCAGGCTCACCCTCAGCACCAGCACCCCCATGTGTGTCACGGCCAGGTTGATCTGTGTCCCCTCGCCGTCGCTGGCGGGGTGCAGGCGGATCCCGTACATCTCCAGCTTCCTGGCCACGTCCAGCAGCTGAACATCTGACTCCGCGGGTGTCTTCCCTCTGGGGACACAAAACAAACGCACAGGGAGTGACAGGAGTGAGAAGGGAGATGCTGAAATGGGCTGGAAAAAGCAGTTTTGTAGGTGCACATGCTGGCATCACACCCACCCCACTGCCAGCCCTGCCTGGTGATGAGAACATCGTGTCCATCACGATGGAGGTTGTCCATCATGAGAAGAGGTCCATCAGGGGGTTTGGGCAGCCCTGGTGAGCAGCAGCCCTTACCTGTGTCTCCGGTGGTAGTGCATGATCTTGTTGTCCAGGTACTCCTGGTTGGGCAGGTACCTGTGCGTGGCCAGGTGCTGCTGGTCTGTCTCCTCGTGGAAGTCGCCCAGCTCGGCTTTAGGGACACGGGGAGAGCATGGGTTAGGCTGAGAGGGGTCGGGCAGAGGGGAGCCCTGGCTCTCAGCCAAAGCCCATGCCCAGGGAAGGCTCTGCTGGCCCTTACACTGCAGCAGGTGGGAGACCAGCAGCGCCGCGCTCTTGTCGCTGCAGGGCAGCCGCCCCTGAGCCAGGTCCTTCTTGATCTGGAGGGTGAAGAGGTACCTGTGGAGGGGGACAGGAGCATGCCCTGGGGGGGACTGGGTGCTGGGCTGAGCCGTGAGAGCCGTGCCTGTTCCCACATCTCATGGGATGCACACCTGCAGGGTCACAGGATGAGCGTGAAGGCTGCAGCTGGGCACCAGTGGGACCAGCACGTCCCTGCCATTGAAATGCTCATTAGTAGATTTCAAAATTAACATTCTTTTCTGTTTATGAGGGCATTTGTCTCTCTTGGGGCTGACGTTCTGCAGAAGCACTGTCTCAGTTTTATTCTTAGTCCCTGTTTGCAATGCTTTCTCTAAAATTGTAGAAGCTAACAATGTCATTTTTAAAAATGCAGCTAAAGTTGTTCTCTCAGAACACTGCTTGAGGCAGGAGCTAGACTGAGCAGTCAGATTCTGTGCCCAACTGCTAAAGTGTTTGGCAGTAAACAAATTGCAGCCTCATAAGACAGCTGATCCTTCAAGTGGATCGTGTTTAAAAACAGAGGATCAAGAAAAGATATTCTCTGGTTTTGTTCTGTAAAGTGTAATACTTAGGATAACCACTGCACACAGACAGGCTGGGGTGGATGAAGGTAAAGAATTAACACACTGTAAAAAACCATAACTGTGTGGTAAGAAAGCAATAAAACAAGCACTGTACCTGGTCAGTTCTTCTCTCAGGTGGCCGGGGTCCACTGGGAAAAATTTCACCATAAATTTGAAAAGAACCTCCTTAGGATCTTAAAACACAACATCTTCATAAGTTTTCTTTTACATGTCTATTGAGAACATTTACAACTCTCTTCACACATGCTGCCTCCTTACGGAGTAAATTATCTGGACCCTTATAAATCAGGGACTACAGCCTGCCCCCCAAAACCAGCCCGCCCAGGCCCCCAGTATTACCAATGGATGCAAATAGAGATTTGGATATCTAAAGAACACTAAAGAGAAAAATGCTCCAGCAATTCTTTAAATTGCAAAAATCCCTTTTGGAGGGGGTTTCCAGGAAATGGTGCCAGGGAGCATGGCCAGAACCTTGGTGTGATTGCCATCACTGGGGCTGTGTGTTAAACTCAGCCCTTCAAGCACTTGGGATGCAACAACTCCATAGCAAGCTGCTTGGGCAAAGGGTTTTTTTGTGGGGTGAGTGAGAACAAGCAGCCAAGCCCAAGGCAAAATGTCTGGAGGGAGGGAGGCAATTATGTAAGCACTGACTGTCACAGAACACCCTGGGATGGCTCAGAGGGACAGGCCAGAAGGCACAGGGTAAAGGAAATAGGTGCCTGCAACAATTCCAATTGTGGTGCACCCAGAAGGGGAAGGCTCCTTATCAGGCTTTCCCCTTTCAGGGAAATTCATGCAAACCCTGCTCTGCAGCCTCCCCGTGGCAAAGGCTGGGGTCATGGCCCCAAGCTCTCAGTCACCTCCCAGCCATCGTGTTCTTGGGGAAAATACTGTGGGGATGGAAAGGGGCTGCTGAAAGCAGCACTGAGTTAACTCTGGTCATGGCCAGGGAGAGGAGGCTGGGCCTGAACTCAGGCCAGGCTCTGCAGCATCTCCGTGGGGCTGGGGAGGAGCTGCAGGGCAGAGGGGGGACCCTGCCCCACGCAGGTGCCTGGGCCATGAGCTGGAATGGGGAAAGGAGGGCACGCAGGAGCAGGGCCTGTCACACTGCCAGCACAGCCACACAGGCACTCAGCCACCCCTGCTCCTCTGCCAAGCTGTCAGATTATTAACAGCTCCAGCCTAAAATGGGGCAGTACCAGATTGCAAAGGCAGTTGGGTTTCTGCAGGATTTTGTATGGACTGAGGTGTCCTTGCAAACAATCCTGCCCAGCCTCAGCCTCTAAAATGAGCCTGGTTAAGTGCTAGAAGCCAGAGATCCTGTCCCCCAAAAACAACACTGCATGAATGTGCTCGACTGTCACTGTTAATGATTTATAAGAATTCTATTCTTGAAATACTTACTTTTCACTTGTTTTGTAATGGGTTTTAGTGGTTCCAACCAGACCTGAAATGAGGCAAAGAAGAGCTGGGTAAATAAATAACACGAGAGATGGGGAATAAAGGCAGCAGCAGCATGGTGGAATGCAACATGAAAACGCTGGCCAGCTTGGCTGCAGTGACAAGTGTCCTGCTGGGCAGTGCCACACGGATGGCTGTGGATAGACCATGAGCTGTAGATGTCACTGGGGCTTGTGGCTCCCCTCCTAACTCCCATTTTCAGGGGTTTCCTGCCATCATGGAAAAGCTTCCTGTTGAATTTTCCATTTGGAATTTCAGGGAGGTGCTACCCACCCCCAGCCATGCAGGCACTGGCAGCTCCAGCTGCACTCACCTGGTTCCCAGCCTGGCTGAGAAACTCCAGCCCAAAGTACTCCTTCTCCACGAGGTTGAGGTGGCTGCAGGTGAGGTTGAAGAGCCCTTTCCCACAGGATTTTTGCTAGCAAACAAACACAGCACAGAAGCAGCAGGTTAGGCAACGCTGACAGCAGCTGTGATGGGATTTCAGAGAGTTGGGGAGAAGTCTCAGCTCCCTTCCTGCACCCCTTTCCTGACCATGCAGCAGCAGAATCTTAATCAACAAATGCTGTTGGCTCCAGCATGAACAACAGGACAACTGCATGCTGTGCTCCCTGCTTTTGGAAATCAGATTCCTTCCCATCATTCTCTCCTTTATTAAGGAACATAAACCAGAAAGGAGAGCAAGAGAAAATAAACCATGTTTTGACTCGCTGCTCACAGCTATCACTGTGTGGGCAGTTCTGTCCCTGGCAAACCAGTGAGTGATCCCCAGGATCACTGCCTGAACCAGGGACAGCCATGGCAAACGTGCTTAATTAAGAGCCAACGGAGCAGCCCTCAAACCTGTGCAGTGAGTCCGTGTGTCCCAGCAGCTGGGGATGAGCTGCTATTATGGTTCATGGTAATTAACTGCAACAGGACCAGGGATCCTGTGCCGTGGGCTCTGAGTCATCCGTGGGCTTTAGCAATAGGAATTAAGGGGTGCTACATGCTGATAAGGGAGGCCAGGCTGTGGTTATTCCCAGTAAACAGAAACACTTGGAGGGTGTTTTCTTGACTTGTTGCCATGCTGTGTGACCTGGCTGGAGAACAAACCAGGAGGCCCCCGACTCTGGAATATGCTCCAGAAAGCACCAGAAATTAAAATGGCAGTGACCCACCCCAACAAAACCCTGATGAACCATGAGCCTGCCTTCATCAGCTTGTGAAAAGCAGACCAAAAAGAAGTAATGGTTATTGCAAAAGCAGGCTGGAGCAGAGAGGCCAGGTTAGACAGCTGCTAAATTATCACATGCTGGGTGATGGAGGGGAAGACAGGCTGCAGCTCCCTGTGGCAGTGGCTGTCCCCAGCAGGGATGGGAGGGACCTGGCTGCTGGTGGTGATGCACACTAATAACCACCTTTCAGGGCTTCTCCTGGGATGAAATTGCTGGCTCTGTGCTGAAAGGCTGCAGAAAAGTGATAGCATAATAACAGCATTGGCTCTGCAGCACTCCCAGTTCCCCTCAAAATTACTGGATCACAAGGGTAATTAAAAAAATTATAAATGTTTTTTTTCCAAGCTAGAATTTTCTAGCATGAAAGGCCTTGGCCTTTGTCAGGCAGCCAGGAAAGACAATTTCTTACTGGGTTATTACCTACCATATGTGTGCTGGGAGTGACCCACTCTGCTCCAAGGCCAGCACTGCCCAGGGCAGGCACCACGGGACAGGAGCAGCCCCAAACCCAGGAAAACCTGCTCACTGGGAGCCACAGCCCTGCTGCTGCAGGGGTGCTTTAGAAGCAGAGCCTTTCCCTTGCAGAGTGTTGCTTGCAGGTGTCCTGTCCTGGATTTTGGGGTGCTGAGGCCAGTGCTTCCTCAAGCACTGGGGTGCAGCCATGCTCAGCAGCATCAGCCCTGCACTGAGTGAGGGAAGGGTGGTGTGTGCTGGGGGAGCACAGTGCAAGGCAGAAACATGGCATGTGGGGCTGTTTGCCCCATGCCCCAGCCCACAGGTGCCTGTGGGAATGCTGCAGGGCCAGGTGAGCACCCGCAGGCAGAAACCCCAGAGCAGAAGGTGAAAAGGAGAGGCTGCACTTGCCCTGCACTGCTCAGTGAGAGCATCTGGGACTGTGAGCAGGATCAGAAAGCCAGAGGCACTTCCAGGGGCAGACAGCAACACGTGCAACACACGGGACACACACACACCCCCATGTCCCCAGAAGGACTCTGGCAGCAGCTGCAGCCCAAAGGCCAAGCCCATTTCTGCAGCATTGCCACAGGACAGGCTGCCACTCCCAGGTCCATGGGTTAGGGGTGAGCATCAGCTCATGGGATTTGCTGTGATTTTTTCGCACCAACTTGGGGGATGCCTGTCCATCAGCACAGAGTGTCATGCATCAAAAGCCACCAGCCTCCCTGTGCCCCTGCTCCTCTGCCAGCAGGCCCACACACCTCCTGGCAAGGAATCCCCAGCTTTACAAGGGACACACGACCACAGCAGACTCTGTCCTTCACCCAGCCTCAGCAGCTACTTTTTCTGGGTTTGTTTGGTTTTCCTGCAGCATCCCAGGCCCTGCCATGGGGGGTGTTCAGGAGGGAGGGCACAGTGGGGACATTCAGAGATGTGCCAAGCCCCTCTCTGCCCTGCCCTGAGGGCTCAGACCTCTTACCCCAGGAACCATCTCCAGTGCTCAGCTGAAGGAAATCCTGGGAACTCAGTGGTCCCAAATGTCAGCAAGGATGCAGATGGAGGCAGAAACCTTCCTGGGTCAGCATCCAGCACCAGGAGAGGAACTTGTTCTCATGCAAAGCAGCCTGGAAAGGAGACCTTGCTGCACATGCCAGCAGCTGTGACACCACGTGAGGCAGGTAGAGAGTTTACACTGAGTGTGAGGAGCAGGGGCAGTCAGGCCCTCTGCCTTTTCTCTCTTTTGTCCTTTCCCTCCCATTACACTGAAGTACTTCTCATTCAAAAGAGCTTTCCAAAGTCAGGAGGGGTTTGGGAAGAGTTGCTTAAAATATCTGCTCAAAACTTAGCCCAAAGCACTCCTTTTATACCGGGGAAGTCACTAATTCAGCGACTCATTTATCGTACCCACACAGCAGCAGCAAATGCACGAAATGCCTAAAAGGGGTTTCCAATACCATTCCATGCTAAAAAAGGAAATGACCAGGAGTTCCTCTAATGGAAGCTATTTGCTGCAATAACATGTCGTGCAGAGCTATAGTGCTGCCTTTTGAGCAAATAAGAAAACAGAGGTGGAAAAAAATGCAGCAACATTGTAGCAGAAGAATCTTTTGAATTGGGTTTCAGTATGACCTGATCTAATCAATGGGAGCAGGAGGGGAAGGCATTTTAAAATGACTTGTCTCATTTTTGAGCTGACTCCTGGACTAGGATAGATTAATTAAACTAAATCAAACAACTTCCATACTGTGTCAAGGCATGGAATTGCTTTATAATCCTCTTTTGTGCAAAATACTGTCACAAAGAAATGGAGCTGTGCATCTGAGAGAGCAGTTCTCAAGCTGTGCTATAAACCACAGAAGAGGACAGTATAAGAAAAGCAACAGAACTTGAAAAAAACCAAAACATTTTATATTAAACACCCTGCTCCCACAGGAGATGCAGGTAAGTACTAGAACAAATCTACTTGAATTAGCTAATTCAATTAGCTACTGTGATTATGAAACCCTAACCAACAGTAAATGTGCAATCACACTTGTAAAGAGATGTTTCTAACACACAGACATAGCTGCTTTCAGTTATCTGTACACATATGCATAAATCTAACACCACAGATATATAATACTTAACAGTTTAAACCTAGTTCAGAGCTAGCATTTATTAAATGTGAATTATTAATCACAATGTGTTGTGGACATTGCCATGCAGAAAATAAGAGTTTTTTCCTCAGCTATTCACAAAACCACACAGTTTTCTTTTTCAGCTGAATGCCCAGGAGAAGATGTGTGCAGATGTTTCTCAACAGGGATAACTTGGACAAATATACTATTTTTATTCTGTTCCCAGGCTTTACTTCTTTGCTGAATGTTTACACCGGCAGCCAGACAAACGAGAGAACTCAACACCTGTCCAGACCATCACTTCATATTAACTGATTTACTAAAGATCACATCAGGTAAGTAAAAGCCATTCCTCCTTCTTCATAAATAATGCCAATAACAGGGGAGCAGATGAGTATGTTGATACCAAAAAACACCTACCAATTAGTTCTAGAAAGCTTCATTTTAAATTTGAGATTGGTTTCCTTGTTTGTTTAGCTGGCATTTTTAAAGCTGAAAACAAGAAGCTATCAGACACCATGCAATCCTTCAGAGCAGCAATGACTTAATAATTAACACCAAAAAAAATCAGTAAGAATATGATACCCACTTACATCAACTACAAAGATCTTCTGGGAGTCATCCAGGAACTGGACTTTCAGGTGCAGCATCCTCGGGCACGCAGCTGGGTGTGCAGCAGGCACAGCAGTGCTAGCAGTGTGAGCCAGGAGCTGGGAAGGCAGCCCTGACTCCTCTTGCACACATAATTCCCTCTCAGCTGGATGGAGAAGGCTGCACTCACAGATGTGGAGCAGAGGCTGCAGCAAACGAGCTGACTGCCTAAAAACTATTAAAAAAACCCCAACAAACCAACAAGTCCCTTGGTTTAAATGTCACCACTGCAATAAAAGAGGTTTTCTGCCTGTGAATTATGGGTGTGTTAATAGGGGGGAGATTGGCAGTAATGGGGCTGAGATAAATGCTCACTGTCACAGCTGGTGGTGACCAATGTGGGGGCAGAGCAAGCCCAGGCTTGGTACCACGGGTCAGGGGCAAGAGCTGAGCATCTCTGCTGCCAGAGTCACCCAGCAGGCCACCCTTGCTCTGCTCTGCTCAGGGTGCACTGGCAGAGCAGCTGGCTGGCAGCTGTGCTGGCTCCATGGGGTGGGCAGAGCATGTCCTGGCCACTGAGGGATGAGTGGATGGGCTGATGTACTTCACCAGAGACTGGAAAATGTTTCCAGCTGGACTTGAAACCAGTTGTGAGTCCTTCCTGGAGAGGCAAACCTGCCCCTAACTCCCAGCTCACACCCTGGTAGAGTAGCTTAGTGAAGTCTCCTTTGAGACAACCTGGTTCCCAGTTCAAATCTGAAAAGCCCATGTCCCCCTCATCAGCTCATCCTGGGAGTGCCAGGGCCAGCCCCCCACGCTCAGAGCCCCAGCTCAGCCCAGGCTGCTCTGTGCAGCCTTGCTCAGAGTGCTGCCTGCCTGGGGACACTTGTGCTGCCTCTCTGCCCCTGTGCTGCAGGACATGAGGAGCTCTCTGACCCCTCTGGCTCCCCTCACCCATCAGAGGCTGCTCACTGAGCTTTTGGGTGAAAGCAGCCTTTGGGCAGGAGCCCCCACTTTCAGAAATAAATGCACTGATCAGTGCCAAAGGCAGGCACTGGATTGGCTTAGGGGATCATTATTGCTGCTGGAAAAAGTCACAATCACACACGATCCTGTGGGACCCAGAGTGATAGAAGCATGGCTCAGCAAATAAGGAAAAAAAAACCCATGTTTAGATTTGCAGAGATTTTCCTTGGTGCTCCCTTGCCTGTTTTTACTGAAACTTCCACTGTAAGTCACTCCACGCCATTTGCCATGGCCTCTCTTACACTTCCCAAATATTCCTGAGGATGTCAAGACAGAGGCCATCAGGGCAACATACCTTGTCATTTCTGGTACAGAGAGAAAGACCATAGAGCTTTTTATCCACAGAAAAACATGTAAATTTTCTGTTAACCAAGACAACCCCTGGTCTGGGGCTGGGGATGGGCAAGGAAATGCCCCAAACCTCCCCACTGCCTCCAGAGAGAGGAGCAGGCTGTGAGAGAACAAACTCTGGCAGAGAAGGGACATAACAATGCTACCCCTGCATCACTGTGCATTGCTGGCCCTCACACTCTGTCATGTTTATCTTCAAATTTGGTTTAGAGGAAAGGAAATTGAGATGTATAGATAAAGTCATTAGAGATCTGCCAGGGGATTTTGAACACCACAGTCCAAGAGGCAAGAGCCCACACCCAGCTCGTTGCTGAGCAGACAGAAATGCACACTTGAAATGCCAGACAGGGCTCACCCAGGTGGACTTTGGTCAGCTGTGACCTTTCATACACTCACATTTCACCTCCCCTTCCTCAGCTGGAGCTGCAGGGAGAACACCCACGTTCCCTCCTCACCCAGCCATAACTCCCCCAGCTGCAGGGCCAGGGAGCAATGCAGCTCCTGGCTGCATTACTGAGAGCAGCTCTGGCACAGCCAAAATCCTTCTGAACAACTCCAGGCCCACAACAGGCTATCCCAGCTGGTTAATGCATCCAAGGCATGGCACCAGCACTGTAAACAGGGACATTTCCTTCCAGAGCAGGGTACCTACCACATTCCTGCTGCCCTTCCAGGAGGAATGGCTTCACTCTCAGCTGGGGTCCCAGCTTATACACAGTTGCTTTACACTTTTTATAAAATATACCCCTTTAAAAGTATTAAAAAAATTTTAAAAAGCCTGAAAAAATTGAGTTTGTTTAGCTTAAAAAGAGAAAAAAGGAACAACAATCACCTGACTGATGCAGAGCCATTCCAGAACGGATCAGCTGTGTTCCCAAGCTAAAGAGAAAATTAAGAGTTTGCTAGAAATTGCAGGGAAGATCTGAGTTAGCTCCTAGGAAAGACCCTTAAATTGTGAGGCAGAAAAAACACTGGAGCAGGCTGGAAAAACCAGAGCTGATTTAGACACACCTGTAGGGGACAGTCCAGGTACATGGTCCTTCCTTCAAACCTTTAACAGTGATCATTGTTTTGCATTTTCTCCACATTACATCTTGGACATATCTCAATAGTTAGACCTGACTTGCCATATCCTGCCCTTGTAAAAACTTCTGCCTCAAAACTGTTCTATTTATTGAATATAATAAACAATGATACATTTACATTTTCATCAAATTTTGCTTACCAACCATCAGCTAAATAATCTGACATCAGAGTGTTGAAACTCATTATTCATAAGCAATCACTGTGAAAATGGAAATAATTGCATTTTTTATTTTGTGTTTAGGTGGGGTTCATCCATCACCTTCAAACTGCAGGATAAGACATCCCTGAGCAGCCTTTTGATACCAGAAGGTGACATTATGCAGCAGCATTTTGCCCCAGTCCCACCCAAGGCAAAATCAGTGCATAGTGTCATGCTCAAAGAATCATAGAATTAAGGCAAATCTTATTCTCGTGATTATATTTTTATTTCAGCTTCAGCAGCTAAGTGGCTCTTTCTGCCTACCTGCAATAACAGAGTAGGAAATCCCAAATAACCTCGATTACACACTAAAAACTCCAAGCACAGCTGCAATTCCAGACACCTGAGAGAAATTAACCTTAGGTGCAATACATTCTTTGGAGTCCCGAAGCCCTGAAACCTGAATTTATTTCCATTTCTGTTCTGTTTTCAGCCTGTGTTTGGCTGCCAGAGCGGAGCACCGCCCTGCTCTGAGCGGGACCATCCCAGGACAAGCCACTCGCTGCTTCCACGCTCCCTCTCGTGGTGCTGTGGTGCCCCACAAGAAGCACAGAGGGACTCGGTGTGCAGGGATGAGCAGGTCCCTCCAGCAGTCACACTTTCCAGCGTGCACCCATGGGCATTGCTGACCTTTCCTCCTTTTGCAGATTTTACATGTTATGTAAAAACTGCTACCAGGAGTGCAGAAGGGAGCTTGCTGTAAGCAAATACAAATGACAGCACAGGCTGTACAAGGAACTTAATACTGCCCTGACTCTGGTGACATCCAGAGCACTTTATCTCATTTTTGATATGCCAGTTGCCCTGTGTTGTTGGCACAGCTATATAAAAAGCACTCTGTGATGTTTAATTCAAACAGGTCACTTCAAAGACATGAGAAAGCAATTTATGCAGCAACAGAAAGCCTCTTAAATGCATTGAATCAAAGGAGCACTGATGCCTCCAAGGAGCTGGGCATTGCACAGCATTCAGTGATTTCCAGCTGGGCAGAGGAGCCTCACCACACCTGTGCAGCACTGGGCTGTACCTTTATTTTTTGCTGTCCTTTATTTTTTCATGTTGTGTCTGGGACACTTGCTGAGCATCAGGAAGAATCCTAGAGCCAGTGGCTTTGTCTGAGGAAGCTGCCAAACGGAGTCTGCAAATGCCAGGTGAGTGCTAGTGGGAAGGACAGAGTTCTGAGGAACTCTACTGCTTATTTTCAGGACAGATGTGGTTTCCCTCTTGGCTCAAAACAAACGACTTTGGTTGAGTAAGCCTTGATTACACCTAGACAAAGAAAGCACATGTTCTCCAGGTTCCTCCAGACCTATTCCACCTCATGGATCTTCATTCTGAGTTTTATTAACACTTCCCTCCCTGGTAGCCCCTCTACCCCCACTCTTTTTTTCCCTTTTATTCTTTCCCAAAAGACCCTTATCACATTGTAGTCCTACCAGGGCACTCCAGATTCCAGGAATACAGCTCACAGCAGAGGGAAGGGCGTGTCAAAGCCACTCTTCACAGCAGGCAGTGGAGGACAACAGAGCAGTATCCACCTGAAGCTGGGAGCTTGGTACTTTTGTAGTGATCAAAGGTGATCCCCACTTCATGGCTTCTCTTCCAGGGCCTTCTGGCAGGTGGTGGCAGCTACAAGACAGACATATTTCCAGAACCAGGAAACATTCCTACATTGTGACTGTCCCAGGGTCCCAGGGGTACCTTCACAAAACCTTTCCAGATTATTAAAGTGGGCCCCAAGAGGGAGCCATTCAGATGATCCTGTGCCAACAACTACTTCAGAGACAGCTGAAAGGAAAGGAATGCAGCTGGACACCCAGGCACTTCTAACCACAGCCTGATAATGGGCAGGCCCTGCAGCTAAAATCTTTCTTCTAACCTATTAAAACATCTGCATTACTGAGATTAGACCCAGAGCACTTGGCAAGGCTGTGCTAATTCCTGGAACAACAAATGGAAAATAATGACAAGATCAGTAATGTGACTGTGGTCCCTGCAAGGGACTTCAGGGACCCCACATGACAGCCCAACACACAGAGGCAGGAGCTACACTCACCTCACACACTCCTTCCCCCAGCAGGTTATCCAATATCATCTTAGAAAATCCCTCACCACCCCACAGAGCTGCAAACTGCTCCAGCACTTACGTGTGCTCTGTGAGCAGCTTTCTCTCTTTTCCAACACAGATCAGCTTTCTGAAAATTCAGTTCAATTCTTCTTGTTTTCCCACAGAAGCCAGGCTGTTAGAGATCACAAAATCATTATTAATTTGAAGAAAAGGGATCTAAGATCTGTCCCAGCAGTAGGATGGATCCCAAGCTGATGACTGCTCATCTTACCTTGCCAGTTCCCAAAAAGACAAGCAGCCCTTCAGGAATGTCACAGACAGCAAGTGTATTTTCTCTTTTCTGGGCTGACCAAATAATTCAAAGATAATGTCAAAGTAGATCTTCTAAGTCAGCCTAATGGCAGGAGGAAATAAATTATTTCTGGAAATACCAGAAATTTCCCAGAAAGCTGATTGTTTGCTTTACTGAGTTACAGTTACAAACTAATTAAACCTTTTCGTAGAAGCATGAGTCTTAAGACTGAACATGTTAACATTGTTGTCTCACAAATGTATGAAATACTAATCCTTTTTGTGAGTCTGAGAATTTTTCAACTTTGTTATTTAAGTTCTAGTCCACTTATTTATTTACATGCAAGAAGTCCAATTTCAAAATTATTCTGCAATGCTGGTGCATCTGACTCCAAGCAAGTCCAAGCACCTCCACCTCTCTAACACACCCATGCCCATATGCCCACAGGAGGGAAGTGCCACAATTATCATTTTTCTTCCCAGGCAAGAACAATTGAGGTCACTCAGTAACTGGCAGTGTTGCTGAGTCTCAAATCCCATGCAAGCCTAATCACTGGAAATATGCTTAGGAGGAAGTAAGGCACTGCTAAGAGAGCTGTCACAGCACACTCAGGCTGAACCAGCAGAACACCAAGGAGCACAGACATGCCACAAACCAAACAAGCAGCAAAGCTCCCCTGTGAGTGAATTTTACAGGTTCCTACAACATGAGAGACTCTCCCATCAATTATTGCACTTATTGCTCCAGAGCCTTTGGAGGGACTTGAAGAAAACGGTTTTGAAGGAGAGCACCAGTGGCAAGTGAGCTGATTCCATACTAAATACATTGTTCCACAGAGAACAAGTTTCATCCCCTACGATCCTGCAATCACTGCCAGCCCAGCTCTGCCCTCAGCAGCACCAGCACACTGCTGCCAGCGGGACCTGCACAGCTCAGAGCCTCCTTCTCTGCTCCTCCCAGCTGCATTACCAGACAGAGATAAAAGTGGCTCTGTAAAACACCCCAAACCCACATTTTTCCCTTTCAGGGTGCAGAACATTGGGCCACGTCACCCCCTGACAGAGCACACCCGGAGCTGCTCGCGCTTCCTGCAGCGAGCTGTGACTCACCCAGCCCTGCAGTGCCCAGGCTGCTGCCCTTCCAGCACAGATAACTCACAGGGGCAACACGCACTGCTCTGCAAGCCGTATCTCATTTTAATTAAGACGAGACACTTCCACCTAGTTTCACACTGTAATTACAGCCCAGCCTCCCCGGGCAGATGCCAGCACGCAGCTGCACACGAGGTGTGGCCGGCGGTTCACCCTCCACCCTGGCAGGGTCCCTGTGCTGCCTGTGGGGTTTGTGTGGCTGTGGGGTGTGCCCTGGGCAGTGGCACAGTTACGTGTCACCCGTGCTGGCTGGGGGAGCAGGGTGGGGACAGGCCTCTCACCAGTGCTGCAGCTGGCTCCTGCTCTCTGATGGCTCTGGGGGGACATCCCTGGTGCTGCAGCTGGCTCCTTGCTCCCTGATGGCTCTGGGGGGACATCCCTGTCCTCTGGCTGCATGGGGAAAGCTGCAGGACACTGCAGGCACCTGCAGAGCAAGACCTGGTGGAGCAAAGCAAAAGCTGCCATAACACACTACATAAACAGCCCCAAAATCAGGCAGAGCAACATGACAGTGCCACACCTATTTAACAAAGGATGCTACACAAGCCTGTGCAGCAGCAACCGAGTTCACTCTCAGCACCAAAGACTTTTGAAAGATAATAGCTTAAATAACAATATTATTCCTTCCTTAAAATCACCAACCCAGCCTCTGTTACACTGTCACCTGGAAATAAACTAGTGCTGTAAGTCACAGGGGCTTAACTCACATCACTCCCCAACCTACAAGTGGAAATAGGAAGCAGCTTCCTCAGTTACACTGAGTGCCATAAGGAATTGGGAGTATTGTTGCTGCATTCTGACTCCTTTTAAACCACATGAGAAGTCAGACTCGCACAGCAATGAATCCAGTAGTAACACCTCAAAGCAGACAGATCCTGAAGTGTCAGCTCCCACCCTCAGCAGCACTAATGAGGGCAGGCTTCACCATCATCTCTCAGCTAGGTTAGGGAAGCAGATATTTCACCCAAAATCACTTAGAAGCACACCCTGCTCTTCTCTCTCATTTTCCTCTCGAGATGGAAACTACTTCTCTATTGCAGCAAAGGAAGTGTGAGCAGGAAGAAGAAACATCACAGAAACCTACCTACAAGATAAGGCTAATGCTGCTTCAGCTGGAGGAGGGGTGGTGAGCAGGCTACGTGGTTTTGCCTGCTGACACACTGCTGAGGACTGAAGGTACCAAGGTATCAACTCTTTCTCAACTTGAAATCACATTTTCCATTAAGGCACAGCTTTAGTTACAAACACAGTACTAAAGGTCAGTGCCAAGACTGCATGTCCTGAGGAAGATGCACTTTTTGTTACAGGGCCCAGATGACAATCATTGACTTGGCAAATTCAGGGCTTTTACTGAGCATTTAAGATAATTGCTATCAAATAGCTTTCGGCATTTTGGTTTTCTGGAAAAATCTTGTGGCAGAGTGCCAGGAGCACTCACTCTGCCAGGGTGGTACAAAGATGTCAGCTCTGGCTGGAGGGCAGCTACAGACACTGCAAGGTGATGCCAGGACTTGTGGCCATCTTCACACACATGAAGCCTGCATGGAAACAAGAATGTTACACACACAAGACAAACAGAGATTTCTTTTGAACAAAGCTCCACCACACTGGCCTGTGAGGGGGCTGCTCTGAAGTGGCCCCCAGCTCAGGGAGTGCCTGCCTGGCACAGGAGGATGATGCACAGCCCTTGCTCCCCTTCTCTCTGCTCTGAGCTCCAACATTGAGCTCTACACCCAGCTGGGGCACAGCTGTACACCCTGCTCCCCACACCAGGACTCCCTCAAGACAATTCAGATGTGGTTACCTCATTTAGAATAAAACCAGAACCTCAAAAACAACCCACAAAACAAAAAGCAGCAGCAGCTTGTCAGTGCAGCCCACTCCAGAAGAAACTGAACACAGACTACTCACCCCGGTTTGGTAATACAGGTATCTATTTTATTAAAAAAGTTACAAACAGGTGGACTGTAGGGTTGTCTTACAAAATGACAAGAATGAATTCTACTGGAAAAAACTTTTTACAAAGCATTATAGGTAATTGTTCCATTTTTGCACTTGTTATTCCAGATTTCACCTATCACTGATAAAGATACAGTACATTAGATACAAGATGTTAGGTTACATTTTTATTTGTAGAGCCCTACTGCAGTGATTTGAACAACTCCTAAACAGATGCCATAGTAAAGACAATACATATTGCATTTATTATTAGCCTCTTACTCTAATAAGCAACTTCACATGCAAACTATTGAGGAAGCCTAAATAAACTTTTGGTCCCTTTTTCCCCCCAAAGTGTGCTGAAGAAACCATCTTTCATTTTCCCAGTCCTGTCACTCTAAGCTAGTTCAAGTTTAAGGTTTTTTTTCATTTGTTTGTTTTTTTGTGTTTTTTTTTTCTTTTTTTTTTCTTTTTTTGCTGAGGTCAATGAAAATGAACACTGCTTTGAAAACTACCCATAGGAATGAACCACTGATCAATATCAACCAACTTTTTCCTTCTTAGACAAAGGAAAACTAGGATCTTTATGAATTACTTTCATATCCTATTACTTCCTTACAACCTACAAAAAAGATCAACAACCATCACTTAAAAAAAATCTAGTTTGAATACAAGGTTTGGTTTAATTCTGATATTAAAGTGCAAACCTAAGTATTAGCCTCAGCCTGTTTATAAAGTTTGTACAAACAGGAAAAAAAAATTTCAAGTAACCCCACAGAAAAAGAATCAGGTGTTTTAATAACCAGGCAGAAATCCTGTCCTCTTCTTTTCAGGATTCAAATTCAACACTGAATGTAGACACAGAATCTTTATTTCTGCTAATATTGTAAAGTCAGCCTGCATTATTACCAATAAAACACATTAATATTGAGATACTGTACCGGTGATCTTTTATTGTTTTAAATGCCATCATCCACAATACAATTTGTGAGTTTTCAACTGCTTAACCTCATATATCCATCACTGCTTTTACTGGAGCTTTTCTCATAGATATTTAGCTATTACAGGGAAAGAATGTACATTTCTAGAAGCATGTTCAAATGACTAAAGCTGGGCTCCTAAAAACCTAGAACTTTGGTGCAGTAGGTGAGCTGCAGTTATTAAATTTCTGCAAAAAAAATTACACATTTTAAACCACTGCTAGAAAAAGCTCTCATGTATGCAACACGTTAATAGAGGTGAACAAAAAGATTTTGTCTGTTCTTTGTACATTTTCATTCTGCTCTTTATACCTGTGTTATTGTTAAAATTTTCAAGTATTCAGAGAAAATGTTGATCAGGTAAACAATAAGGAAGGCAATGGCTGTTTAAAGCACGCTTGCAGTTAGTATCACTGAAACCTGGTGCTTTTCCCCTTGTTACACCAACTTGTCTCTAATATTAAACTTGTTTATTGGGGAAAAAAAACCAAACTAAAAAGCAATTTGTGACAGTGCAAGAAAAATTTGAACAAATATTGCTTTAAAATATTATTCAGAAAGACAAATATTAGAAACTATAAAATGTAAAGTGATCATATTTGCATTAGATTTACATATGCAGAGGTCTACTAGATGTCTCTTACTGTGCCAGGCAAAGCTGACAGAGGAGGCATAGAGCCCGTTTTGAAGGATACATTATCCCTTTTCAAAGGCATAGAGAAGCAATTTGTAAACAAACAAGTTTAGAAACTCAGTAGAAGGAAAGTGTGCTGCTGTTTTTCAATGCTACAATTGTCATGTTCAATTAAGAAACCCGAGATTGAGAGCAACATCAGCTGGAGACTTTCCATGCCATTCCAAGTAATCCCTACTGTCAAATCAGACCAGTTACAAACACATTGTCACAGCTGCATTTGCCACGAAAAGGGATATTACATCCATACAACACAGTGCCTTCAGTATCTTTCCATGACACTGTCACACGTAAACAAAAAGTCTCAAAGAATGACCAACTACATTGTAGGAGAAAACCTTGCAAATAGAAATAAGCACTGATGCGAGGTAATATACAGAAGTAACCATTTGTTTAAGGCTCAACTTATTCTCCATTAAAACTCTCTTCTTTTAAAAGGCATTGAGTAGGTAATACTGAGTTTAAGTATTTAATAAATACAAATTCAGAATTGATTAAAGAAATCAATTAAAATATTAAAAATGAACTCTTGCATATTAGCCATTATATGAACTTAGAAAGCTATAAAAGGACTGATAGATAAAGAACAGATTTTAAAACTTATGGTAAACATGCTAAGCATTCTGATTAAGGTGTGTGGATCCTGGAGGCCACCAACCTTATGCACTTAGATGTATGGCAATGTGCTGTAATAGAGACAGGTTTACCAAGGCTCAGCTCTGCAACCTGGGCTGAAAGTTCTCCAAAGCAGCATCTGTGCAAGTTTCCTCTGAGTTTTATCTGCAATTAAAAAAATAAAGCAAAACAAAAACCTCATGAAAGCCAAATTCAATACATATCCACAGTGAACACGGCTCCTCCCCTGCCTGGAAGGGCCAGTTTCCCATCCTGAGCTCCAAAGCACTGTTTTCCACAGCAGCATCCCCAAATGCTCCACTAGCTCTGGTAATATAAGAGGCAAGCAGGTAACAACCTATTGCTGTTCACTTTCTAACAGCTGCTGTGGGATAGGAAATTGCATCTAAAGATCTGAAAAAGCCAGGAAATTTAAATTCTCTTGTACAGATATACCAAGGCAGGAGCCAATGTATGTGTAATACCCAGTAACATACAGCAATGGCTTTTAGCACAAGTGCTGGGAACAGGCAGGTGAGCCAGCTAACTCAGTTTTGACACCTGTGTTCTCAGCAATCACACCCTCTAAATGACTCTAAAAAAGCCCCTCAGCATTCAGACAGCCTCAGCAGGGACAGAGCTGTACCCCACCATCCTCAGTCAAGCACACCAACATATTACCAATGTGACCAAACCATCCTTGCATCTACAGATAACTGGCTTGTAGCTCCCAGAATTTATCTGCAGAGATATCCTAAAAGTCTTAGAAGCTCAAAGTCTGTAGAAACCTGTCATAGTTATGTGCAAGTACTTCACTCCAGCTTGACCCATGACTTCCCAGGGATTCTGAGGAACCTTCTCAATTCCTGAATTTCTCCAAATGAGTCAGGACATTATGTTTCCTACTGCACCATTTCTTTTCAGCTGTTGATTTGCTCTCAGCTAAGAGTCTGTTACCACAGAGTGCAGGGACATGGCCAGGGCTCCCCTTCTTGCCTAACAAGTGGTCAACACTCAGGAGCAGCACTCCTGCCCTCAGGAGCCAACAGCCAAGTTTTTCTTGCTGGGTTCTATGTTTTCCAGCCAACAGCAATTCTCTCCCAATCTGGTGAGATCATTCCCACCCCACACACTGCTGCTGGTACACAAGTTTTAGACAGAGGGAATCCCTGTACTGTCAAAAGCAGCAAACCAACATTTAGCTTCTAATGGGGATGGATTAGACCTGCTTAATAGATGTTTTATCTTTGCTCAGAGCACAGAAGAGGCAAATCATTTCCAGTGTAGCTCCTCATCCTACCAGAGTTAGAGCTACCCTAAAAACTTCATCTAAACCCAGCATTCAATAACGTGGCCAGCAAAGAATTGCTGGGAATAGTAAGAATAGAAAAATGAAGTAATGATATTTTCCTCCACATGCCTTTCATCATCCTTGCATTTGCAGCTTAGGGACCTCCCAGTCCAGATTTGTCATCTTTGCATTTGTGTTTAGTTACTAAAATTAACACTACAGGACACCTCATCAGGCTTCATTTGCCTGTGATACTTTACACCACTCTCTGGTCTCTTCTGTGAGCAGGCAGGAGAGAAGGGGAAGTTACACAATACAGTGTAATAAAGGTGTCTGTGTTGCACAGCCACACAGACCAGAATAGAGTACACTTTCAGTTTTTATTCCTAGAGAGGAATACTCCTCCTTCAGACTTGCTAATACCAGTTACTCATGAACACAGGGGACAGAAACCACTAATCAGAATCAGTCTTTCATCCCAACCTTTAAGGTGTTACCAATCCTATTAGTATCAGAAAGACTTCAGTGCACAAGCACTGCACCAGGTACCATACTTTAAAGAAGATTCTAAATACAAGAGTGCCACACTGAAAACTCAAGAGAAATACTGGAGCAAGGAACACAAAACACGCGGGTCCTGGAACTCTCCCATCTCTGAATAAAAGAGCAAAACGACAGAAGACCACTGCAGAAACACAAAAGAGGAGCTGGGAAACAGGATGGGAGAACAACACACCTTTTTAGAAGGAACCAAGGGTTATCCTGACTGTGCAGTTATGTTCCATCCTCCATCTCAGCCAAGGCAGCTGACTGGAACAACAGTTTAGCAAATGCTTCTCAAAAATGTCATGAAAGCACCTACACATCACAGCTGACAGACAGGCTGAAGTATCAGCACCAAAAAGAGGTTAAGTGGTACCTGAGAGTTAAAACTGACACTGGAACAGCCTCAGGCAGAGCTAGGCCCAGAAAAAAAAAATCCACCTCCACCCCTCCTGGGTTTCTGCACCAGAACTGCAGGAACACAAACTGCTGTATGCACTGCTCTGTGAGCTGACACACCCAGGACTCCTCCTGGACACAGGGTACAGAACCCAGAGATGATGATGATGATCCCAGGACACAGCTGTAGTTCAAGCCACAGATTTTCAGACAGGTGGTTCTACTTCCCCAGTTTCAATTTACCTAGGAGGTCTGACAAGCAGCAATTGTTTCCTGGATCACAGATAAGCAGGATCACAAAGCTGATTAGAACTATCACAAGACACCATCAGCAC